TCTCAGCAGCCTCTCAGTGGCAAAACGTTTAGAGCAGTGAGAACACTGAAATCTTTGACCTACAGACACAATCGCACACAAACAAATGGGTGCAATGAGCCATACTAATCAATCTAATCTTTTTTTTTTTTTGGTACGTTCAACAAAAGAATTGAAAGTGTCAAATTTGTTCAATACAGAAGGTTTTCAGATTCTGTTATTGTTGTTTCTGCATGTGTACAAACTCAAACACAACCCCCTCACATTCTATGGAGGTTTGCCGTCGAATGTGGTCAAAGAACTTTGTGTTGTTGGCAAACATTCCTCCACAGGTCGGACATGCCACCAGCTTTTCCTGTGTGTGGCTACGCATGTGCTCTCGCAACTTAAACCTGCCCTTGAAAGAAGCCTCGCAGTCTAGAAATAAGGAAAAAAGTTAGCATTTTAAAAATGTGCAGATCTTTAAAAATCGTTACGAGCAAAGAAAGCTTTCAGGAATATTCAAATAACTACAATGCTTAATATCTTCTACCATGGGGTTCACTCTTATAGGTTATACAAATAAGGTCCAGAACAGACAAAACGGACAAATATTAAATTTTAGCATTAACACAAGGTAGCAGTCTGGATATTATGAAGTATAATAACTGATTATTCTATTCTTTATGATTCGGTGTTTATTTCTTAACTGACTTGCTGCATCTAATGAATGAAGTGGTTCTCGACCAGATGCCAAAAACTACTAGAGTGCCATTTTTAAAAACATTAAAAAGCTACAATTATTTATTTTAGATTTTTTTTTTTTTGAAGAGTTGGGGTTCCCAGTGAATATATAAGGTAGCCTATTTTTAAATGTGTGATCTCTGGATCTGGAAAAGTCATATTATAATGAACTTACATTTTTATATTTATGCTTAGCTCTAACACATTTCATCAGGTAGAAATTGTAAGATTTTTTTTTTTTTTAATCCTTACCATTAATGCTTCTCCACTAAATTACAAATAACTAGAAAAAGCATAGGGCTTTCAAATATTGTTGTGGACGATGGAGGGGCCTTGAAGTTGTTTCTTACCTTTCCAGCCACAGAACAACACATTCTCTTCATTAGC